TTTTTAATGTTCTCAGTATTAGAAAATCAAAATTTTTTTAATATTAAAAAATTTTGTTAAATGTTCTCAAATAGAGAACATTTTCCAATAATTCATGTTCATAAAAATTGTTAAATGTTCTCTGAGAACACTGAGAACATCAAATTTTAAACACTAGTTGTAAGTAAAGCATATACTTGTCTAATGTTAATATTTACTATTTTATTTATTTTATTATTTTATTTAATATATAGATAGGTTGGTCAAAAATCTTGAGTTTTTTAAAATTCGGAATAAACCAGTTGCACTGTATGTCGCAGACAGATTAGAGCAAGTACATGGATCTCTGTGATATGATACAGTATCATATGATGAAATCTTAAAGAAGCATTTCAATTAGCTCATGAAAAATTTATAGTAACCATTCCGCACTTCCAATTTTAAAGCAATTCGTTGCTTTGATCCTCGATATATACAAGCTCAACATATATTTGGTTACCAGTCTCTGGAGTAGATGTTGAACGTAGCTTTTCGGCTTATAATAGAATTTTAGCTGATAATATACGTGCTTTATCAGAAAATTCAATTACCGGTAGAATGTTAAATTTTTTTGAATTTTAACATGTAAATAAATACTATTATAAAGGATTAAAAATTTACTCCATCGCATCGCATAATCCTGGACACCCTAGTGTCTGGGTCACAAACATCACGTGATAACATTAGTCGCGACAGTATAAACTCGCGTAATTGACATATAGAATCTTTGTATAACTTATTAACATAATACCGATTTTTTCTAGATGCTAACTCTACTCGACGACGGCGACGAAACTTCAAGTCCTGAGCCACCAGCTCGCCAGCTAAGGAAAAGACTCCCGATTCAACAGGCACCGTACTCTATAGAGAGAATTCGAGCGAGGAATGCAGGTATACCCACGGAAGTGGATTCTAAAGTCCTAAAATTTGAAAGAGAGCAAAATTTCAATGAAAGGTACAATTATGAAGAACAAGATGATGGGTTTATTGTACATGATTCAGACGAAAGCAATACTTTTGACAATTCACAAGTTTGGGCATCAGATTCCGAAAATGAAGCAACACTTCATGATACAAATATACGTGATTCTCTTAATTCTGTTGATAATTTCAATGAAAGGTACAATTATGAAGAGCAAGACGATGGGTTTATTGAACATGATTCAGATGAAGGTTCTTTCAGCAATACTTTTGACAATTCACAAGTTTGGGCTACATCAGATTCCGAAAACGAAGCAACACTTTATGATACAAACATACGTGATTACATACGTGATTCTCTTAATTCTGTTGATAATTACGCAAAAAGTGTTCAGAGAAATAAGAAAAAACCACGTGGGGACACGCCATTCGATCGATTACTAAAGACAAATTTGCAATGGGCAAAGGAAACGCCAGTACCATCTATCGACGATCCTTTATTCAAAAAATATACACCAATATATGTGGAGCTGTTTAATCAGCTAACGTTCGCTGTTCCATTCAATCAATCGTGGCCATTGGATGCAGAATTTTTAGTAGCAAAGTTAATTCGCCGATTTAAGAATTGGGAATCGCCAAATAACTCTAATATTGAAGAACCTTACAAGATTTTATGTGTTTTGGTAAAAAATTTTCCAAAAGGGAGGATTCCATCGATACCCGAGATTGTGGATGTCTTTTATATTTTGACCAAAAGACTTGTTCGAAAGATAAAACCGGAGACACCAAGGATATATGTGAAGGAGTTTCAGGCTAAAAACTTTAAATATGTAAATGAATTATTTCAAAATCTTGACAACAAAAATATTTCATATTATAAAGAAGCGCACGAAAAAATGTGCTTTATTCTAGAGGAATTTATGGATTCGCTTTCTCCACGCGATGATACAGAGATGTTGTTAATTACATTGAATGTGTTCGAAAAATCCCTTTCACGGTTGAATAAGCTAACAAACAATACAAAAGTAAGTTTTACTATTAATAATTGCTTTAGTTATTTGTATGAATTTTTGATTAATAGATTCATTTAAATATTAGGCTGAATTAACGAAAATTCACCGCAATTTGGTTGCCAAATTCGATGGTTCTGATAAGGATGGTAAGAATAAATAATTTATATTATGCGTTTATATAAAGCGATTCTCAGAATCATTGTTTCTCTTTTTTAATTAAGCATTTCAATTGAGAATTAAAATCAAACAATGTTTGAAGGCATTGAAAATAATGATAGAATCACATAGAATTACCATATAATTTCAGTAATATATTTATAGAAATTTAATTAAACCTATGGAATCTATGGAATGATAATTACGACTGTGATAAAATCAAATTCTGCAAATTATGTGCGTTATGAATTCTGCGTTGGCTACTTAGAAGTCTAATTATTCTTAGCTTGTATTTTAGGTTTATTTATCATTATATTATCTGCGCCGGAAGAAATTATAATAGAGCATTCTAAAAGCATCCTTACTTAGATCCCTAATATCAGGTTCAAATATGATTAGTTCAAATCTCGTGAAATTTTTTTATAACTATATCACGCGCAAAAAAAAAAAAATGTTACAACGATTAAAATCCAAGTTTTTTTTTTTTTTAAAAAAAAAAATAAAATAAAGGTATAGGTGATTTTTACCTTTTAAGTGGGTACTTCTTATACTAAAATAATATATATAGTCTAATTTTTATAGTTATTTTTTTATGAATTAATTAATTTGTAACCGTAGGTTACAAATTAATTTTGTAACCATAACACATGATCGACATCATGCAGACCAGTAATTATAGCGAAGTATATAGTAGTATATGTGTGTATAACGTCAATGACGCAATTAGAAACATACATATATATTGAAAGGAAATAAACCATCTTAGTTCTTTTTACTACAACAAGCGAATGTGCCAATAGAATAGAATCGTCGATATAAACATACCTTGTTCAAAAACCTCAATAGTTCGTATCAAAAATCCAAAAGAATCGTGACGGCATTTTTGTTGCTGTATAACACGTGATATTTTAGTCAGTCTTAGCAAATCTTCCGTAAACTACAAGTTAAAGTGTAAATACCTCAACCTAAAACGCTTTGCAAAAGTCCAATACTAGATCGTGATATGTTAGTTTCTTCATGTTTGTAAATTGCTCATAAGTCATTTAAGAAGAAAACTGTAAGTTGAATGATTTAAATATTTAAATCGGATGTGTTGATGTAAAGAATGCGCTTGAGCTATCTACTAAATATTTCTTACCATATTTTTACAAGCCTTTCAACATTATACGCAAAGTTTAAGGCCTATGTTGAGTGATAAGAGATTAGAAGCTTCCGATTTACAAGTCCCTTTTATATACTCTATACAACAAAATTCGAGTAATACGGCTTCCGGTTCACAAGCTCCTTTCATATGCCCGATCCAACAAAATTCAAAGCATACATTAAGTTATGAGATATCAGCAACTTCTGGTTTGCAAGTTCTTTCCGTATATCCTATTGAACAAAGTTCACAACCCATGCTGAATGATGAAATATTACCGACTTTTAACTCACAAGTTCTTTTCGATGAACAAAGTTCACAGCTTATATTGAGTGATGAAATATTACCAGTTTTCAGTTCAGAAGTTCCTTCCGTATACTCTATTGAACAAAGTTTACAGCCTATGCTAAATAATGAGATATTACCAGCTTCTAGTTCACAAGTTCCTTCTATATGCTCTATACCACAAAGATGTGCTTCATCTGAACCTGATATGTTAAACGCTAATGATGTAGAAAATGAATTCGTTAATTATGATATATCTGATATAAACGAACGTCAAAAAATTGAAGTTAAAGATCAAGAAAAGCTTGAAATTGTTTCTGGCTCAATATTTCAAACTTGGGAACAGCTTGACCGTCATATTAAAATGTATGCAAAGCAAAATGGCTTTGTGTCAATTATCACTTGTTCTGAATATGATGATATTACTCGTAGAAGGTGTAGATATGCTTGTGAACACCAAGGTATAGGACATTCAAAGAAGACGGCTATTCTAGAAAATCAAAAAGAATCACATACAAAACGGTTAGGATGCAAATGGGTAGTTAATGCAACTTGTCCAAAAACAAATAAAAAAATCAAAATTAATTCTTGTTATCTCGAACATTCCAATCATGAAATTTATTCTGATACTATTAATTTTGCTTCTTACTATCGGCAATTTCCCGACGAAGTAAAACAAGAGATTAAATATTATACTTCAAAGGGATTAAATATGCGAACTCAGCTTTCCTTACTTGAGGACAAGTATCCTGATGTTATTTTTTTGCCAAAAGACTTGTCATCTACAATACAATCTTTCAAAAATCATAATAAAGTTGTTAATGAAGCCTCTGCTCTTCTGGAAACGCTTCTTAATAACAAAGCACAAGACCCAAGTTGGGTTGTTCATTGGCAATTGAATCCTATTTCTAATTCATTAGAATTACTTTTCTGGATGGAGCCTAGCCAAGTTGAAATGTGGATTCGCTATCATGATGTTATTATGAATGATAACACATATAGTACAAATCAGTTTAATATGGCGCTTAGTCTCTTTGTAGGTATAGACAATTATAACTGAAGTCGTCTTATTGCTCAAGCATTGATGAATGACGAAACTACTATAAGCTTTGAATGGGTTCTTTCTAAGCTTTTGGAATCTACCGGCTATTAACCACGTGTTCTTATTACTGATTCGGATCTTGCAAACGAAGCTGCTATTGAAAACATAATGCCTGAAACCTATCGAATGAACTGTATATATTATATTAGTCAGAATCTTCCAAAAAATCTGAAAAGTAAACTCGGGTCAAATTGGGATAGATTTATAAAAGACTGGTATAAGATGCGAAATAGTTTGTCAAAACAAGATTTTGAATCTGAATGGGGATTACTTATTAGTAAATATCCAACAACAAAACCTTATCTTGAAC